CCCCGGACGGGTGTTGTGATCCTGTGACCTGCGCGTCTGTGGGCTGGACGCCCTCGTGCCCTTGCTGGCCGGGCGGCGTGACGTGTCGTCCCCTGGCCGCCGCGGCTCGGGGCTGAGGAGTACCCGGGCGAGGGGTCTGCTGTGACGGGGACGCTCGTGCGGGAGACAGCCAGCTGCGAGGATGTCCCCAGAGTTCGCCGCCGAGCTCTCGAAGTGGGTGCGTTCGAGCCTGCAGTGGGGTGGTGCGCCTCACTGCGCTCGATGCCCTGCTGGCTGTGCTGACCTCGACGCCGACCCAGTGCAGCATTATCACGCCTGCCCGTCACCCAGACCACAAGGTCGCGTCCCAAGCGACTGTAAGCATCACCGGTCCGTCACCGTTCAACCGCCGGCGGCTGTTGACCCGCCCTTGACCCTGCTCCCGCGCGCCGGCCTGACCTGCCGTCCGACCCGGTGCTGGCCTTGACCCGGGACGTGTCTGTCTGGCCGCCGTGGGAGCGCTCCCGTCGGCCGGCCGGCAGCGGCGCGGTCTGTGACCCTCCGGGCCGCTCCGGACCTGGGAACGGCTGCGGGCCGGCTGCAGCCGACAGCGGCCGGCGGGGCCGGGATGACGCGGTGTGGCTCGGCGGCTCCGGAGCGGGAGGGCGGGCGTGGAGAGGACTGGACATGGCTCGGCGGCTCCGGAGCGAGAGGGCGGGTGTGGAGAGGACTGGACATGGCTCGGCGGCCCGGAGCGGGAGGGCGGGTGAGAAGGACTCGACAGGGCTCGACGGCTCCAGAACGGGAGGGCGGGTGTGGAGAGGACTGGACATGGCTCGGCGGCTCCGGAGCGGGAGGGCGGGTGTGGGGAGGACTGGACATGGCTCGGCGGCTCCGGAGCGGGAGGGCGGGTGTGGGGAGGACTGGACATGGCTCGGCGGCTCCGGAGCGGGAGGGCGGGTGTGAGAGGACTGGACATGGCTCGGCGGCTCCGGAGCGGGAGGGCGGGTGGGGAGGACTGGACATGGCTCGGCGGCTCCAGCGGGAGGGCGGGTGTGGGAGGACTGGACATGGCTCGGCGGCTCCGGAGCGGGAGCGGGTGTGGAGAGGACTGGACATGGCTCGGCGGCTCCGGAGCGGGAGGGCGGGTGTGGAGAGGACTGGACATGGCTCGGCGGCTCCGGAGCGGGAGGGCGGGAGTGGGGAGGACTCGACCTGGCTCGACAGCTCCAGGGCAGGCGGGCTGGCGTGACGGTGGTGCGGAGGTCTTTTCCGCTGGGTTGCGCGGAGGGCGGTGATCGGCGGCGCCCTAGCGTCGGGACGACCCGCGGGACACGACAGCGGTCCATGCGGTGTGGGGGCTGGACAATCCTCGGCAGCATGGCCGGCCAGACGACCGACCGTCTGACCTTGGTCGGGTTTAACGTTCCGTACTCCGCTGTTGGCGGTGGTTTGTGGCTCCGCGCTCTTAGTGCGGATTGGCGTTTCCCGCCTGTGGTGTCTCACAAATTATCGCGAAGCTTGACACGTGATTCCAATCGGCACCTAACCAGCATTGTCCTCAAACAGTATCCGCGCAGTGGGTCGAATGTGTTTGTGCGGGTTTTATCGGTACGTATCTTGGTCGTCCTGAATTGTAACAAAACACCATAAAACTGAGGGCCAACTAACCAGGCCATTTCACCAGTGCCCATTGTGTCTCTCGGGTACGCATTGTCCACTTTGAAGTGTCGGAACAGGCTCTAAAATATCTCATCCGAGCTTCACCGGAGGGGCCTGTGGAGCTCGATCGTCCGCCCGTGTCTAACGTCCCATTCTCTGTCCGTTCCAGGTGAGTACCCGGCGCGTGCGACTGCGCAGCCCGTCGCCGCGGGAGAACGGGTGGCCGACAGCCTCCGGCCGTCACGGTACCGTGTGTGACGCCGACAGGGCGGCCGCGGCGGGACGATTTCGCCTTGGCCTGCGCACATTTGAAGCCGAGTCATGCAGTGTTGATGCGAGGTACCGGCACGTGAAGCCAAGTCATGCAGTGTTGATGCGAGGTACCGGCACGCTCGCCGGATGAAACTGCTGCGGGAAGGAGGGTAACGGCGCCAGGCTGTAGCGGCGGATGGCTAGGGAGCTCTTGCAGACGGTTGTGCCGCTTCTGGTACGATAGGTTGATGCGCAGTGACTGGGTGTGGGAGAACGCTTTTGAAGTGTCCCGTGAAGCTCCATCGTCACATTGTCACCAGTCGCAGTCCGGTGAGCAGTGCTGAAGTCTGTTGGTGATCGTTCAGCCATCAGCGCTGCACCACGCTGGAGGCTGCCTGCCGGCGGTCGTCCGCCACGGTGATGCTCTGTTGGCCCTCGG